CGAGCGCTATCGCGCCGCTTGGTTCTCTTCGCAACCAATTAAGACAAGCGCTGTTACGCTGTTCGCCACTTTTCGACCGTGTTTTCTGAATAACCCCTGGGACTGAAACGGTTAATGAACGGATCTTTTGTGCAGAGGAAGAATTGTCCTACGCGAACGTTGCGATATTTTAACAGGATTTCGAAATTCTACAACTGCTTTATCTGCTCGTAGATGGATAAAATCAGCAATCTATTAAGATCGTGGAATAATTTAATACTTTAAGTAACAGCACCGTAGCTTTAGATCCACATGTTCGCAATCGTAATTTCTCTTATCTCTGGCACGAATCTGATACTGTCGGAAACGACGATCGATACTCTTCGGCAAATTATTTGCAGTTCCTTAAGTTTGTTGACTCAGCAAGCATATCTCCGTTTCCATCGGTACGGCGAAGTGATTTCAAAGTTCTAGCACACATGCGGCCGTAGTTTCAATTAATTCGTCATTAGAAAGGATAACAGTAGCTCCTGGTAACAATAACACGGTCTAATTGCAGATTTCACAGAAGGGGATTGCGGTTCGAACTAAATCCGGGGTTCAACGCTGTTGCTAAACTAACCGGAAGACGATACGCGTATCTGACTCATAGAAAAATTCGTTTAAAGAACCTCGCGAGCTCGACGAGGCTCGTCATTCAGCTATCGATAAGGCAAGATTGCAGCAAGGCCAGCGAATCGTGACGTGAAACACGCTTTTAAAGTCGCGATACCTGGAGTGTAATTGTTAATGATAACGCGTGAATCATCAGGTAGCTTCATACTTCCCGGAATTCAAATGGTATCTCGCAGTTGGAATTGGAACTTCCAGCTTTTCTCAGACGTATGCTCGCTACGTGAATCTGTTTGTTTCTACTGCACAGTCCAAGTATTTACGCCCCTACACATAAACCGAGAGAAAAGGAAACTTCTGGGAATCGGTGACAACTTGCGCCACTCTGGCGGACGTGTTGAACCCACGTGTTCGGGACCTTTCTGTATATCTTATTCTCCCCTTTCCATATGAACTTTTTTTAATAGCGTCACAAGTCTTGGAGCCTGCGAAGCCGCTTGCCTCCCGCGTCTCCATCTGTCAGATGGAGACAAATCTTACGATTTCAAATTGGTAGAGCTCTTTCTTCCCATCGTGCACTGCTCATTGTCTTCAATCGTTCAGATTTGCGTGTCTTTGTGTTAATTTTTACACAAGAATCGAAGAGTGGTTCTTTCAGAGTTTAAATGAATCAAACGATTTTCTTATAATTCACCAAACTTGAGTTTTGCGTTAAACATTGAGTTTTAGACGGTCATACAGCGACAACGCATGAAATTCGGAGTTTAATCAGAATACACGACGAATGGGATTTAAGAAATGACTGTCACGTTGTTGGAAGTCAAATTCTTCCGAAACTTCGTCAATTTTTTGTGTCACACGATTCGGCTTTAAGAAATCCTGCTCATTCTGCCGAGTCTCCGGAAAAACGACTTACAAGAGATAGGCTGTTGTCACTCGGTCATTTCTTAACACTATGCCGTCCGCAGATTTCAGATATGATTCTTTTGCTTGACGCCGGCATAATAGCTCGGAAATTTTAGATTTAGAAAAAGATTTCGAAGATGGCGGTAATATAAATTCCTAAAATTAAGATACGTCATACAAGAATTTTCGTACTTAATTCTTAGTTAAATAAGCACAATGCTATAGTTAGTTTGCCGCCTTTTAACACCCAAGAAATATAGTTCAAATGTTATTTCAGTTTTTAAAAATGGCACCAAAGTGGTACCACCGGCATACAACAGATAATTTTTGCATGGCACCAGCGTGGTGCCACCGGACGGCATGGTGTTAAGATTCTGCTGCAGAAAAATAACCACAAATTGTCCAATCCGCGTGCTTTTAACCGGGGTAATAGTTTAAAAAATGAAGCCAACAGTTTTCCCAGAAAAAATTCCTGAAACCACCGAGTTCTCTAGCGTCGAATGCATCAGCTTGTAGATTTGAAGAAACCAGCGACGATGCAATTCGAGGTCGGGGAAGACCGGATGATTCCGCGTCGACTTATCAGACACGCCACTGATAACGTTATCGTCAGCTGCGCGCACTCGCGAACGTTGGGCCGCGAAGATCATCGATCGGCCATCCGATTTTTCGCCGTAGCCCGCGGTACGGGAACAACGTTCGCGCTGCTGTCGGTCAGGAAATGTTAAATCACTTTGAATATTCAAGCCGTGTACCGATACGATTCGTAATTCCCCGTATCCGGTCCGGGCTGGCCAGGTTCGGTTCCACCGGCCACGCCGGCACGGCACGGCCGGCCGATCGATAAGCTTTCATTATTATTTACTTCGGCGGATTGATCTCGCGCCTGGGATTTTTCTGGCGGCGAGCAAACCGCCCGGCGCGGCGCCCGGTAAATATCGAATCGCGTTCGGCGCCGGCCGCGGACACATTTTTTTTCTTTCTCTGTCCGCCCACAGTGGCCGCGATCGAACCGATCGACGGGCACAGATCTCGCTCGTATTTGCTTATTGCAACCGGACCCGGGGATCGTGGCGAATGCATTTAAGCGGGGCTTTCGGAACAAGGGACGCCCGCGACGAAAGATTGTTTAGGATCCCCGGGCACGTACAAGAGTATCGGACTTCGTTGCCACTGTCTACACAACCACATACCTGCATGGTCCATTGTAGCTGCCTCGGCGGACAGAATCGACGAAACGCGAAGCGGTATTGCGGGTTTTTCGAACTTTCTTCCCGTTCCTAATTTCGAGCACTGTGAAACTCACGGCCGGTTGTAACGACGCATCGATCGGTTCATGATTGGAGTTGATAAAAACCGGGGCACAGAATCTATTCTAGACGCAACTTTATTTCGCCGCAACGGAAGGTGAAAAATTCTAGCGAAATTCGCCTCGTCGTTGAACCTTAACGACGATGAAAATGATTTTCGCGTCAAATTTCTATCGATTCGAGTCGCTTCTGCGATTTCGTGCAAGTTTTTTCGTTTTTTTCATTTTCGTAGAAACGATCGCGTGGAACAGTTCGCACGTAATCGTTTCGGATTAATAGTTTTGTAAAACGCGGCACGACGGAAGACGAGAGTTAAAAATATTTGTGAAATGTGTAGCGTGCTTCAGCTGCGAGTCGGCAAAGGCACTTTTTTCAAAATTCCAAATTGAGTATTTCAACTGTCCAATAAACCAAGATTGAGTTTACCAATGCTGCTGTTTGATATGAAAGAATCGAAAGTGCTTCGAAACTGTCGATATTTTATTAAAAAAAAAAAAAAAAAAAAAAAAAAAAAAAAAAAAAAAAAAAAAAAAAAAAAAAAAAAAAAAAAAAAAAAAAAAAAAAAAAAAAAAAAAATGGAACCAGGAAACGAAAACTGGAGTCGCGAAACGTCACGATTTAAGGGGTGACCTAATATGAAAGCAGCTGAAGGGAGGGAGGGAGGCGTTTCCGAGGCACAGGATGTAGAATTTGGCAGTAATTTTGAAGGAAGGCGCGAGTAACGTCGCCCGATCGCGACCGGACAACGCAAATGGAGTTGTTAAATAAAATTTGCAACGGCCATGGTCCCGATGTCGGCGTTGGCCATAGGTCACGCTAACGGTACCATTACGGGGCGAACGACGACGCGGCCGGCATCATAACCGTCGGCTCTAAAATCTCGCCGCCCCCTCGGACGATATTGTTAAAGTTTCTACGACTTACAAGAATACCCGCGGAGATATACGTGTCACGTATAAACGGTCCTATAAACGCGGCATCAATGGAACATTTTCGTCGCGGAAACGGCCGTGTCCTAAAATTCCCAGCGTCGACGACGGCGAAGACGACGGCGTCGAGGACGGTGCGCCCTCGTCGTCGCCCGACCGGCTCGAGTCGCGTTTCAAATCCAAACGACCGTCGCGAACGAGACCGACGAAAGTTCAACGAAATCTGAAGAGGCCACTCTCTCCTCCCGCGTTCCCTCGGCCCGGCCCCGGTAGGCTGCGGCCGCGAGAAAGAATTTCACTTTATATGTATACGTAGGAGGCCTCGATCTAACGGAGAGAGCACAGTCGAACGAGCTTCCAAAGAGGAAGTCTCTCACAATAGCGTCGCACGGGAAAAAGTCTCGAATTACCGTAGACGTTCGACCACAGGTTCGATACGGAGGTGGTCGAGACGCACAGTGGTCTCAAATCACGGAAACGTGATCATAATCTAAAGACGACCCGGATTTAATTGAAAATGCGTGATTGAATGTTTTCATGGCCGTTGATTACGTGTGTGGACTCAAAATTTCAAGAAACAAAGTGACGGATTCATTACTAATCTTACTAATTATTTTAAAATATTTTTTCTTTTTTTATTTCATCTTCAATTATTTTAAATAATTTGAACTAAATTAGAAGAACGAATGATCTATAAATTTCAATATGTTGTTTATGTGTCTGCCTTACAAAACTTTCCAAAACTCGTACAACTTTTCTCTGAAACACTTTTAAGCATCATTCGTCACATTCGAAAGAAACATGTTGAAAACTACTAACATGAATACCTTACATTACACAAAATAGCGATACTGCAAGATAAAAATATAAATTAAAAGTACTAACAAGAATTTTGATGAGATGTTGAGGTATATACAACTTTTTCTCTACATCTTTACAATTTATGCGTAGCGCGCACCTTATCTTGTTACTAACTTACACGTTCGATGGTTAACAATTTTCTCAACGCTGGTACTAAAAAATATTCTACTCACTTCCCCAAACATCGTCCCTGTCACAGAATTCAGTGAAATATTTTCTGAGAGAAGTTACAGGAGTTATTCCGAATAAGTCACGCTTGTGCTGATTTTCATGACAATTGTTTAACCGAAGCTTCCGCCGCAATTGTCGGCCGAATACAAAAATGTAACCATTTTCTCCAACATCCTACCACGCGAACATCAATAAGGCGAATAAAATAACCAACGATAAAATTCATTTCTAGGTGTTCTGACCACGTTATCGGAATTTGGAGGCAGCGAGCGACGGAGACGGCCGTTTCCTCTCGCGGATCTTTTCGTATCGGGAACGCGTGGCTCCCTTTCGCCAATTCCGCGTCGAAACACCGGCAGCAAAGCTTGGCGAAACTGCGACAATGGAAATACTGTCGCGACGATCGATTTTACCCGGCCGACAGCAACGGCAGCGGCGAGAGAGCAAGAGGAAGAGGGAAAGGGAGAAGGGACTCGACCGGTGCGCGACATTCAGCCGGCTAATTTCGAGACAATGGGGCCATCGGCAGCTTTTATTTCGCCCGTAAGGTAAAAAGACGGCGAAAAGGGGGGCTGGCGAGGAGCGCGGGGCGGAGGTGCAGCGGCGGATAGAAAAAGGGAGAGCGTGGAAACAGAGGGAGCCGGCGACGCGTTCGGTCCCCCGACGCCTAATCAGCGCAGCTACGTCGTAATTCCGAGGCGCGGATAACGCGGGACCAACTAATCTAATATCGAAGCGAAATTACGCATAAGGGATGCAAATCCACCCTCGCGCCCTTCTCCTCGGTCTCGTTTCTCGTCCGACGCCGCGCGTCCTAATAAACTCCTTTCATTAGAACCGCTTCTCTCCCTCTCTCCCGATCTCTCTGTCTTTCGCTTTCCATCGTTCGTTCGCTCTGTCGTCCTACCGCGTTTCTACCTTTGTCCCTCTCCCTTTCTCTCTCTCTCTCTCTCTCTCTCTCTCTCTCTCTCTCTCTCTCTCTCGTTCCAACTGCACTCGAGTCGAATGCGCGACGAATGAACAAACCGTGCAGTCGTAACACACAGGCTTGGCAACAGCTGCGGAACGAAGCGCGTGGTAGTCGCGGTTTTCTCTCCTACCTCTCGTTTCTCTTCCCCTTTCTCTTTCCCGCTCTCTTTCCCTTTATCTTTCCCTTTCTGTCTCTCTTTCTCCTCGACATGCAGTTCGATCCATCCTTCTTCCTGTGCGCTAGCGCCGCTATAACTCGAAACCCGCGCGCCCTGTCACGCTAACTCGCGCGAGCTCGCCGAATCCAACCCTCGAACACGTAGCTGTGTGCAAGGTGGATGCGCGCAGCAGCAGACACTACACCGGAACGTGAACGTTCATATAAATCTGCGGAGCCGGGCCGGAACGACGCAAGTCAGATTTTCAGAACGCTTCGGTTTGTATCGGAGATCCGAAGGAGTCGCCGTCTCGCGGGCGAAAAAGCATCGTGATGGATTCGTCCGTGCCGTTTGTCGTCCCGGTAATAGCGTTCGCGGGGCCAATATTTCGTGCAACGCATCCGCTCTGTACGAGATAGCGGGATGTTACGGGGGAACAGTCATTGTTGATTCGTTTCGCAGCGGGGAAATATCGGGGGCTGTTGTTCTCGAACGCTGCCTCGAATATCCTTCTGCTGTCCTCATCTATGCGCGAGATAGTTCGCCGGATGAATTGTCATCCGAGAAACTCGCGAGAATTGGGAAATATTTGAGGTACCGAAAGTTCTCTCGCTGTTTCTATTCGAGAATCAAAATTTTCGACCGTCCGCGCAGAAAGTTGGCATTAATTCTATTTATCTGCAGAAAGGGGACGTTGATTCGCCGGAAAGCAAACGAAATCGAAAGAAATCCTTTCTCTCTCGCGCGAGGTTCTCCCCGCTTGATAAAACGAATTTCAATTCTACACGGCCTTTTTTATCGCTCGCGCACGAACAAACGTTCGCTTTCAGGTTTTACCATGAATTACACCGCCGGTCCTCAGCTTCCATGGGACCGGGGAAAACCTCCGCGAGAGAGAGAAAAGTCTCGCTCGAACAATAGACCCTTGTAATTTTTACCTAGAAATTACATGCAGTCATTTTCAGTGCTCGACAGCAGCCGAGCGAAGGAAAAGTAGGACAGCTATTACGTAAAACCCTCGGCAGGTTTCTAATTTGGGAAACAAATTCAGCGAGATCTTGCGCGATTTCAATGTATCGCGGAATCGAGCGGTCGGCTGCCACCGAAGATTTTAACGGAGAACATTTTTCCCGCGATTTCGGCGCAAAGGTGGCCCGAAAACAATATCAAACTGCCGCGCATGTTTACGCGGCCCCTCTTTCACCGCTTTTAAGGGTTAAAAGCATCCCCGAAACGTGTTCCTCCCGACCAACAAAGATCCACCCTCCGCGGGAAAGCAGGCCACACCGATGCACGTTCGGGGACACGTTGCATTGCCACTGCACGTGTGCGGTTGCACGCGGACCCATTGTCGCACGCTCTTGCACCGACGCGTACGAACGAACACACCGCTCTCCTGTTCGGCGAGCGTTCACCTGCGCTCTTGCCCTCGCTACCAACGTGCACGCACACAAAATTACCATTGCGAGGCAATTTTATACGACCCTTTTATTGCACAGCTAAACTAATTAATAATATTCCGCGGTGTGTCTCTCAAACGCACCTATTCGTATTTTGAACACGAAATACATTTCAGATCAAATACATTCGAAAATAAAATATAGTTTCTTAACTGGACATTTGAAACTCGTCTTTTTCATACAGAGAGACGACCGGCGATGTTAATAAACTGTTTGACCCTTGTATACCATCTATACAATATTGCACTAGAGAGTGTTCCAAAAATGTTTCGCAATCCGGAAATGGGGGATTCTGGAGATAATTTGGAGCAACTTTTTCCTCAGCGAAAATGCAATCCGCGACATTGTTTACGAGTTATCAACGAAAAATAGTGACCAATAAGCGGCCAGCACGGCTAGCGCGTGGCGGCCCAGCCAACGAGTGCACGAAGCCCAGTTTCGCTGATTGGCTCGGCCGTCTCGCGTTTATCTCTGTTTATCATGTTCTGTCGATTTCGATCGCGTTATATTAGTCGTCAGTACCGTTCTGACGTCATTGGCCATGCATGAAACTGAGTGGTGATTATCGAATGTTTTAATTGGTTTGTAGGCGTGTTTGAAATCGTCTTAATTAAAGGAGTACCAAAGTACTAAAAAATCGATGGAAGAAATGCCTTATTGTCTCGCGTTGTCAATGATAACCATGCCGCGCCACGACAACCATTGCAATTTGCACGTCGTCCAAAATTTACATAATTCCTGTAAAACCACGTACAAAAGGACAAACTCGAAGAAAAATGGTCGAAGCGAAGAAGGCGAAGAAGCAAAACAGCAAGCGCGAGGAGTCGAACGAAGGCGGGGAGGAGGAAGAGCGAGAGGGAGAAAGAAAAAAGAATGTCGAAAAAGAAAGGGGTGGTTGGAAAGGGGGCTGGAGGGGGAAATGGAGCATGGGTAGACGAGCGCAGCGCTCGGGTCCGGGCGGCAAACAAATATCAAATAAATGGGACGGCTGCGCGAAACCTCGACGTTTTAATTACTGGTATTTAGCCGCGGCATGGAGAGTCAAGGGGTTTCTGGTCTCCCGCGGCCGCCCCTCCGCCCCGTCTAATTTGCAAGCGTTCCTTTTAGGTTTTTCGTAGGGCGGCCGGTAGTTAATACCGGGTCTAACCGCGGCGCTCCGCTCGTCAACGGTTAAGCGTGTTTCGCCTAGCTCGCCGTTGAAAGTTGCAATTTGCGTCGGGTCTCCGGTCTCGGAACTGATTTTCGAAAGAGACATTCTCATTCCGGGTCGATAATAAGACCGCGTGCGCCACGCGCATTCACGTTACACCAGCAGAAGCGGGATAAAGCGAGAAAGAGAGAGCGTGAGAGGGGGAGGGAGAGAGTGAGAGAGAGAGAGAGAGCGTGAGAGGGGGGAGGGAGCTAGTGTAAGAGAGAGAGAGAGGAGGGGTGCCGCTAGTGTTTTTCGCGCGCCGCTCGGTTTTACTAATCTGAAAAACGTAAATTGGAACCGGCCAACGAGAACACCGTGAAAGGAGTTCCATTAACTCTCATCTGGCGGGGCGAGGCGGTTGTCACGAGCACGAGATAGCGCGCGAACCTTCAAAAAGGAAACAGGATGCTGAAAAGGAGGAAAAAACTGGCGAGAAACAGGAGTAGAAGGTGGAGGGAGGGAAGAGTGGATAGATGAAATGTACGGGGGCTCGTTCAATTGAATGTGCGATTGCGCTCGGAACTCGTTACGCGGGGGTTGCGCTGTAAAATTAACCTTCCGTAGTTCGGGCAAAGTTCAACAACAGATTGAAGATAGAGCACAGAAACTTTAGCGGGCCCCGGACCGAGCCAGATAAAATAACCCCGCGAGAACGGTCTGGCTCGCGTTGACTCCCGAGTAATCGATGTAACCTCCGAAATTGGTACAAGCTACCCCCGTTTTTTCCCCGTTTCGAAACCGCCGAAGAGGAAGAGGGAGAGAGAGAAAAGAGAGAGAGAGAGAATGGTTGGTGAACATGGAAGATAACGAACGGTGTAACCCGAAAAAGCCCATGCATAAATTAAAAGTTCATCGGCGGGGATTACGGTCGGAGGAGCGACGAGTTCGATGATCGTTCCGGTATATTGATTAATCCGTGAACGACGGCATGACAGCGTAACGTCGGGTAGTTTCGCGAATTTATCGACACGAGGAAAAAAAAACGAGGAGGGAGCCGAAGAAAGGGGAGCGGCGAGTTCAAATGACGCGAGTCAATTTTTAACGCGAGTGCGTGCCTGCCTGTCTGCGTGGCTGCGTGCCGGAGAGAGGGAGAGTGAACGAGAGTGAACGAGAGTGAACGAGCGAGAAGGGGCGGGGGAGGGAGAACGAGAGGGAAAGGGAGACAAAGAGCGGTACAGGGAGAAGGGTTCGAAGGCGGGAACGGAAGTTCGAGGAGTGAAATATTTAAAGGTAAGCTGTACATCTCACGTCAGCTTATGATACGTGCACGCGAGCCCTGCTACCTGGCTGACGCGATATGGATATCATTAACCGGGCGTATTACGAGTGTCGCGGACTTTAACGACCGGTACCTCGTTACCAGATAGGAATTAATTATTTCGGGTTAATGAAGTGTCAAGGGAAGGGGGGGACACGTTGTTCGAAGTTATTCGACGGCAGATATTCCCCGGCCGTTACGGTGCGGCATCGGTGCGCGCCGTGCTAACTACCGCGGGACGGGCGGGAGTTATTTCTAATTACAGGAGCCGCGTGATCCGCGGAGCAGATTACTCGGATCGGAGCTATACGAAGATTAAGGGGAAATTGCCGGGCATGTGCGATCCGCGCGGCCAGGTCCCGCGTGACATCGGTCATTTTAATAATACAGAATGCCACGTGCTACGGCCGTGGCTCTTATCGCGATACAACGCTCGCAGTCTCCGCCTCCGCTCGAATTCTCCGCGCGGCAGGCGAAAATCGACCCTCCGAACACTCGACAATGCTTCGTT